TAAGCCAAGCTTGGAGTAGGAGCAAATGGAAACAGAACCCAGCCTAAAGGAGTCACAGCCTCAAAAAACGAGCTAGACGGACAAAATGCATCTATTTCACTTCGCTAGGGTCCAGGAAGCAACTCCGATTACCGGAGCACCCGTTCTCCGGGCGTCAGGAGACCAGCACCATCAGCCCCACATCTCCTCCATCCTGTCCTCTCTGATGCTGGAATCCACAGAAATCACTGACTGGCAGAGCCCCCGAGCCGCAGCAGTACCTCGCTCAGGCATACGGTTGAGCCCATCCCAGTTATTTTCCCCCAAAGTTCAGCAACAGCAGACGCCCTCACCTCCACAGCCTCCAAGATGGCGGAAAAAGAAAGTGGAGGCCCCGTCGCGCGGCCTTGTGGGATAAACATGGATCCGCCCCCAGTTTAGGCATCTTCCGCGACCGCCGGGGGGGAAAAAAAAGGCCTCGGAAATCGTCTTCTGACTGAAACAAGCAATGTTAAAGAGCAATTTTAAAATTATTTCCCTAAGTCCTTTTATCTTTGTAAGCTGCAACATGTATTACTTCGGAACAGAGGAAGGCAAAGTGCTAGACAGCTAAAGGATAAGAAAAGGTGATCGTTGCCATAGAAACACCTTAGTTTGGTTCCTGTGCGTCGGGTTCTGTAGGTGGGTAAGTGAAGCCAGAGTGGCGGCCCCCCCTCGGCCTCGAGTACCCCAGATTTGATTCGCCAACATGGGGGTATCTTTCCCTCTGACCACACAGGTAAAGGCCAACGGAGATTCTCGGATCCCAGCCTGGAAGAGAAAGGCCGAGAGCACGAAGGCAGGAGGAGCTGTTCCTTTTCTTTACCTTTTTTTTTTTTCTTACTCCTTTCCTCCTACTCCTTTATCTCTTCCAAGAAATGACTTAAGTTCTTACCTCCATCCTTCGTTTTGCCCCCGATGGTGAGGAGAACTGCCCTGAAAAGACTTTACTGCCTTTTAAAGATAACTCATTCAGCTGCCAGGCAAACTCTCGGGGCGCCCAGCACCGTGCCCACACGTAGTAGGTCTTCAGTAAGTACTTGTAGACTAGAATAAGATAGATCAGTAGACATCAGAGATTTACGTTTCCTAATTATTGCATATTTATTTGGGTTGCCCTTTGGATTCATTCATTTTTTCAACAAATAGTTTATTGAATGACTGCCATGTACCATCTTTGTTCCTGGTTCGGAGGACGCTGCAGTAAACAAAACAACAGAAATCTCTGCCCTCATAGAGCTTACATCTTAGTAGGGGGAGCAAGACAATAAGCAAGTAAATGGCACATTGGAAGGAGATGTGAGACAAATTTTCTCAATAGAGAAAAATTAAGCAGGGAGGCCACTGTAAGGGAGGCTTTTACTCTGAGACGAGAAGCCATTTGAGGGTTCTGTACAGAGGAGTGACTGAGTCACTGTGTTGAGACTGAAGGGAAGCAAGGCCAACAGCAGGGAGACCAATTAGAAGGCTATTATAATGATCCTGATGAGAGATTATGGCATGTAGAGAGGGGTGATGAGTACTGAAATTCTGAATATATTTTAAGTCTAATGCTGACAGGATTTGCTGATGGGTAAGGAATGAGAGAGGAAAGAGTAAAGGATGACTCCAAAGTTTTATGGAATAGATGTATATAAATCATATTTAAAATCAGATCTTCTTTTAAGTGCATCAGGATAGAGATTATCTACCTTAGAGCCCTATCCCCTATCCAATTTTCTCTGTCCCAGAAATATGCTAGAAATCCCACTATTAGAGACGTACTAGAAATCCCACTGTTAAATGTGCTAGAAATCCAAGTGTAAGTACTCCTGAGAAGAATAACACATTAAGTGTGAGTTTCATTCCTTTGTTCATTCATTCATTTGACAAATACTTATTGAACACAATGCCTGAAACTTAGGATACAATAGTGAGCATCATTATCAGGATTCCAGCTGTCATGGAACTTAACAGTCTAGTGGGGGAAACTGACATAAACATTACAAATTGTGAAGAGAGCTGTTGAAAAATAAGAGTGCAATGAGTGCTTGAACAGAGGAATCCTGATCCAGCCTGATGAGTCAGGAAAATGTCACTTGCAGAAGTGTCATTTAAGGCATTTTACAAACTGCGGGTGATGGCCCCTTAGTAGATCATGATTATAATATTTTTTAAGTAAAATATGCTAGAACTGAAAATATCAGAATGTATCACACATGTTAAGGGTAAGTTGTTTCATGGAACTTTTGTTTCAGTTATTTGTATGTATGTATATTTATATATAAGCTATATGTAAAAATGTATGTGTGCCATTGTAGGTCATTGTATCAGTCAGTGTTGGCCTGGAAGGAAACAGTTGGCAGAGATGAAAATTTACTAAAGAGTCTGCTTACAAAGGTGTAGGCAGGAGTGAAACTATGAGAGATGATGCAGTCTCCAGAAACATGTGAAAGAAGAAGTTTCCTGAGTCCCCAAGAGACAGCAAGATGGAGAGGATTGCCTGATGGGAGCCATGGTCTTTGATAGAGAAATATAGCCAACCATTGGTGATCTGACAGGGAGGGAGCTGGGAGAATAAATACCTATCCTCACTCTCCTACACTTTGTACCTCTTTCCGGAATCTCCCGTTGGTGCACTCCATTTGGGTCAGTCTCTCAGGGCACAGAAAATGGTGGAGATTGGACCTAGAGGGGCAAATGGCAGATACCTGCAAAATGCCACTGATTTAGTCTGGTACCTAATAGATCAGTGGGACTTTACAAGGTGAAAAGGTGAGGGGAAGAGTGGTTCACGTTGAAGGAATAGCGTAAGCAAAGACCCTGAGTTGGATGGGAACATGAGTCCATAGAAGAAGTGAAAGAAGCCCATTGAGGCTGGAGCCATGAGAGCAAGAAAAGGGCAGTGCCAGAGGGATCTGGAGAGAAACAGAGGGGGCCAGATCATGTAGGCCTTATGGGCCAAGTTCAGAATTTTAGTTTTTGTCCTAAGGCAATGGGAAACCATTTAAGGGTTCTAAGGAGAGACATGATCAGATTTTCAATTTTAAAAGATCAGTCTTTCATTTATTTTTTATTTTTTAATTTTTTTTTTTTTTTTGGTGAGGAAGATTGGCCCTGAGCTAATGTCTGTGCCAGTCTTCCTCCATTTTGTATGTGGGACACCTCCATAGCATGGCTTGATGAGCGGTGTGTAGGTCTGCGCCTGGGATCCGGGCCTGCGAACCCCTGGCCACCAAAGCAGAGCAAGTGAACTTAACCACTACACCACGCCAGATCAGATTTTCATTTTTAAAAGATCACCTCCAATTTGGAGCCTGTTAGAGTAGTTCAAGCACGAAACAACAGCAAGTCCATCATGGTGTTGGGGGACATGGAAATAGAAGGTCAGGTCCACAGGACTTGGTGATGGTTTGGATTGGGGGAATGCTGATCAAGATGAAGGAGGAAGCAGGAATGACTCCTGGGTTTCTAGCATTGAGGAACGAGAAGCCAGAACAGCACGAAAGCACTGGATACTGCGTAAGCATTGCCCTGTCTTACCTCTGGGAAGCACATTTACCTATGCCCCAAGCCTAAAAAATGCAAAAATAAAGAAACGACAACACAGCAAGAGAACAAAATCTTCTTAACACCGCGCTACTTCCTCCTAAGACTCCTAAGACAGAAAATTTGGCTAGTTTGGAGTATCTTTTTTTCAGTTTACGTAAAGATTATGTTTTATATGCTTGAATTTTTGCATATGAGATTTTTGTTGCGTGAAATATACTTGTACCACCCTTCTCAGGATCACTTTATTGTGGACAGAATCACACTAGAAACTTACCATTCACCGTTTATTCAGTATAGAGCAAAATTCTACATAGGGTGTTCTCATTGTAAAGCTCATTTAAGCAGAAAGGACTTTGGTTTACTGACAAGGGGTGACATCTTGAAAGCAGTATTAAGTTGATTTCCAGGATAAATACGGTTTTTCTAAGTGCAATCTCAATTGGTCTTCTCAGTCCAGGTGCAATAAATTCTGTTACCTGGCAGATCAGGGAAATGGAGTGATCTAAATATTTTTGTAGTCAGAATAACAGAAAAGTAAATCTGTTATATAGAGACTATCAATTAAAAATCAGAATACAATAAAAAATGTGAAAACCATGTTGGATATGAATTTACCTTAAGAAGAGACTCCAAGATTGCATTTATCTGCCAATAATTAAGCTTAATAGACCTGCACCACATGATGTCAATGGTTCTTCCATGTCTGGGACTGCTCTAATAAGCAAAAAAAGCTTTTGTAATTCTTTAATTTTCTCTTAATGAAAGGGCATAGAAATAACTTAAACATCGTTCAGCACTCCCTTAAACTAATTTCAATGTTTTCTTCCCATTTTAGGTGACTGCATTTTTTGAGATTATAAATGTATCACTGAAGTTAACAAAACGAACTCAAGAAAAATGGAAGAGTATGTTCAAAATTCTAATTTATTTTGTATATGTGTGTATATATATATTTATTTATTTAAATTATGCCTTATGTTAAATTTCTGTGTATTATTTATCTATTGCTATGTAACAAGCTGCCCCAAAACTTAGTGACTTAGAATATAAACATTGTTTCATACCATTTCTGTGGGTCAGGAATTTGAGAGCAGCTTAGCTATATGGTTCTGGTTTGGGGTCTCTCAAAAGGTTGAAGTTGACGAGGGCTACAGTCATCTGAAGACTTGACTGGGGCTGGAGGATCCACTTCTAAGATGGCTCATTTACAAAGCTGGCAAGTTGATGCTGACTGTTGGCAAGAGGCCTTAGTTCCTCACTCGCATGAACCTTTCCACAAGGCTGCTTAAGTGTCCTCATGACAAAGCAGCTGGCTTCTCACAGAATGAGAGATATGAGAGAGTGGGGAGAAGCTGCAATATCTTTTCTTACCTAGCCTTGGAACCCACAATATCCTTTCGGTTACATAGGTTAGGTAGTCCTCTTCAATTTGGGGGAGACTACAAAAGGGCATGAATACAAGAAGGTGCGAGTCGTATGGGCCACTTTGGAGACTGTCTACCACATTCTGTTTTTCACTAATCAAGAGACAATTTTGGTTAGCATCTAAAGCTGTTGCTAGAGAAAAGTTAACTTTGGCTCAATTCAAATTGGTTAAGCATAGCCAAATAGCTACATATCTTTATTAAACAGTGAGTTGCTTGACTTTGGTTGATCAAAATGTGACTGGGAGGTATTTAGCAGAATCGCACACAAACTTCTACTTTTGTTCTTTGCCTTGGTTATATTATACGACAATATGGATTTCATGGAGCCAATCTACAGGCTGCCTATGCTTTTGAGTTTAAGTAATTTTTAAATATTTGGTGGCTGATTTCTTTTTTCTTTATTCTTTCTTTAGAGGCTGGCTGGAAGCCTCAAATCTTACTCCAGAAGTTTTGCATTCTGAGGTGACAGTGTCGGTGACAGGTGAACCACCTAGTGCTGTGGAAGAAGAAAAAGAGGCAGCCAAAGAAACAAACATAGAAAACATCCTGGAAGTCATGGAGCCGCTCTTCATTCTAGATGTGCTGAGGATCTCCGCGGTTCTGGAGGATACCATAGACCAGCTCTCTATTCTGAACTATATCATGCCGGTTCAGTATGAAAGTAGACTAAGCACCAGCATGGTACATACACTCACCATTATTTAATTTTTGCTTTCTTTCCTTTTTATTTCTCCATCATTTATAGTACTTGTGCCATTAAACTTAACATGGCAAATAGCACCTTTATTTCAGATAAAGGGCTATAATAATTACCAGAGATATGTACTCTAAATCGATGGAGTGAAATAGCCATAGCTCAACATACATTACCGGTAAGAATATCCTTTTCTTCCATTATATTGGCATTATTCAAAAAAGCCTATAGTTAAATCAGTGTAGATACAGTATACATACTGAGATCAGGCAAATTACTGAGTTGTCCCATCTATCTTATATTTCTCAGCTGTTAAAAGCTGACTGAATACGAAGGAGAGGAAATTCAACTAGACCCTCTTAACATTTCTTTAATCTGAAATGGCTTTGTTGTCGTTGCCGAATATGTTGCAGTCTGCCTTTCTGAATATCTAGCCACGTCGCTGTGTCAGCCATTACATTTTCAGTGATGTTACGGGCTTCTCCTCAAAGCACTATTGAGTTATCAAAAAACTCAACTTGGTAGTAAGCAAAATCTTTATAAATTCTTAAGGTCTTGTAAATTTTAATAACGTAGGTTGTAGATATAAAATAGAAACAATTTATCAATACAAATACAAATTTATTAAGTTTAGCAAAATTACATTGTATAATTTTTACAGAATATATTATTCTATGACAAATGAAAATTGCTACATAAATGAGAGGGTAAATTGCTTTCCATGTCTAACAGAAAAGAAGTCCATGTTTACTGTGACTAAATATTAAATTTCCCTTTAATCACCTGTTACAATTTTTAAATTATTGTTATTATTATATGTATAGTCTGGGTTTGTAAAGCTTTCATTGAAGTTTAAAAGTTTATACAAGATTTTAATAGAACACTGGATTTGGAGTCAGGAGGCCTTTGTAGTTTAGTTGTGTGCTATGAGCAATTCATTTCACTTTCTTGGTCTTAGTTTTCTCATTTATAAAATGTGATGGAGTTTTAACTAAATGATCCATATGGTTCCTTCCAATGCTAACATTCTATGAGTTTTGGGGTAGTTTTAAAGCGATGTTAATGGGTATTATAGGAATTTTATAACAAATTAATTTTCTTATCAATTTATAAAAGGCAAGGAATTTGGAACCCAAGGACTAAGCCTTTCAATGCATTTAAAATAAGAGTCTAATTCATAAATTAAGCTAGTTAACAAATGGTACAGAAGAGACTAGTGTTTCCTGCCTATTTTCTCCTTCAATAAGAATCAAAAATAGAAAGAGAAGATATTCAATTAACAAGGTGAAGTCTTATCATGATACTTATCAATGATACTTACTGTCAGGCTTAAAAAAGGGTAATTTGACCTTATAGAAACTCAAGAGAGAATGAGAAACTCAAATTAAAAACAGCATTCAGCAGTGATCACAACTCCAGTAAATAAAAGAATGAAACTTTTGCACTGTTTTATTCTGGTTTATGATAGTGATCCTCACTCACAAAATTTTCTGACTTAACAGAGGCCCTGCTTGTGATTTTATAGTAGTGTAAATAATAAAGGCTTACAGTCTTATCTTGATTAATAGGAGCTTAAAAGCCCCTTTCTCAATATGTTACTTCTATAACTTAAAAAAATTTTGAATCTCTTAAAATAATTTTTTCCTTTTTACTTCATAGTACTATAGTTGTTCTAACTCATGAATTTTACAATGCCATTGCCCTATAGGGTATAGGATGTATATTTTAAAACCTTAGTATGTATGTGCATGTTTTCTTTCTCCAAAGGCTTTACATTGTTTAGCTTCATAACAACCTTGGGATGAAAGGTTAGCGTTACCCCTCTTTTATAGCCATTTTTGTAGCTCAAGACATCCCCAAATAGATTTTCATTTATTAGAATCATGGAATGGAATGATGAAAAATATAGTAATGTACGAGGTTCTACCAGAAGTGGGAATAATTGGACCAAAATTTGGAAAGAGCCCCCCTGCATGTTTTTCTTATCTTTTGCCTTAGGGTCTAATGCTCTACCTTGTACATAGTGTGTGCTATATAAAAACCTTTTCTAGTGAATGGACTAAAACACTTAGCTAGTTTCTTTAAGTTCTCTTCTTAAAAATTCATATTTATTTGCAGTAATCAGTAAATCAGGCTGCTTGACATATTTGCTTCCTTTTCCAGATGCTCAAGCATAAAGGTAGAGGAAAAATGGTTAGGAAATCAGAAAAACAGAGCTTCCTAGGCCCTACATTTTCCTCTTCCCTCCCTGGACAAAATCTAAAATAATAACCATCCATATACTTAAGGTTTTCCTTATGTCCAATTAAGTTTCAGTTTAATTGTTGAAATTCTGTGGCTTCTATTCTCTTTGTCATCAGTCATATCAATTTTAAAGATTTTATTTATTTATTTTTCCCCCAAAGCCCCAGTACATAGTTGTCTGTCATAGCTGCACATCCTTCTAGTTGCTGTATGTGGGACGCGGCCTCAGCATGGCTGGAGGAGTGGTGCCTCGGTGCGCACCCGGAATCCGAACCCGGGCCGCCGGCAGCGGAGCGCACGCACTTAACCGCTAAGCCACGGGGCCGGCCCAGTCATATCAATTTTAATTTAAAGGAGTATTTTAAAATTTAATTCTTATTTAAGGCAGCATTTTGTTTTGTACTTGCCTACAAATGTTTTCCTCAGATTTGAATCTTTGCTTATTGTTGGTATAAAGAAAAATGCTCTGTGTTTATTAACCTTTCAAAGATAGTTTTTTAACATTTCTGGGCTAGTTGGAGTTTAGCTAGGAAAGACCTAGGCTTTATGTATCAACATGCAAATAAACTTTTTTTCTGTGCATAGGATCAGCACAAGAATTTGAGTAAGCATAACAAAAGCAGGACTTACATAGTTCTGTGTACCATTCTAAATACTTTATGTATATTAATTTATTTAATCCTCATAGTAGCTCTATGAGGGCAGGTACTATTATCCCTATTTTACCAATGGGAAAATGGAGGCATAGAGATGTTAAATAGTCGCCTTAAATCAATGCGGTTTAGTAAGAGATCAAGCCAAGATTCAAACAAGGAAGTCTGACTTCAGAGTCTATATGCATAATCACTATGTTATATGGCCTCTCAATAGCTCAAGCTTTTAGCCACAGATTAAATAGGAATCATCAATTAAAAAACATATGCTGTTCCTATGGTGATGCCTACCCCTTAGTATTCAAGTTTGGGTCTGAAAAATAAATTATTTTGGCTTTTCCCCACATAGCCTTAGAAAACTATACCACACCAGTAAATATACTATCAACTTCTTCTCTCTGGTATGATTCTCCTTTCATTCTTTATATTTCAAATTCATGTGTTCAATGAACATTTGAGTCTCTACTATACCCTAGGCATTGTTCTAAGCAATGGGACTATAAACGTGGCCACATTTACTATCCAATCTTGTTCCAAAAAGAATTCGAGGTGAACCAAGATGTCTAAGACACTGTCCCTTCCCTCATAGAATTTACAATCTAATGGAGATATTTATACAAATAATTACAATATGGTGAATGTCTACTAATAGAGATATTCCACAAAGAACTTTGCCTTCGATCATAATCTTAAAGTTACCAGGTGGTAAGTTGGGGAATGACAGAGAGAGGGAATACTGTCTAAAGGCAAGAAGACACACAACAGCAGGACATGTGGTTTGGTGTGGCTGAAGAAAAGGGTAATTTTCGTATAGATATTGTACTATGGAATATAAGTGGGAGAAGATGAGATTGAAAAAGGTAGGCAGAGGCCCTTGTATAGCATCATTTCTTTACTCTTTTAAAATGTCATACATAAAATGTCATTTATTGTTTTTAGAAGAAAAGCAAAGAAATGAGTTTAGAAGGAAAAAGCCTAGAAAAACTTTCAGAAGCCTTGAAAACATCCAGTCCATTCATACCTAAAGAAGAATCTGAGTTGTCAGAAATCAGACCAGAAGGCCAATTTGCCGATGAGTTTAACAAAATGCAAGATCTTGTCTTCAAAAAGCCTGTAACACAGACCATAATGACTACAGAGACACTGAAGAAAATTCAGATTGATAGGTAAGGAAGGAGAGCATATCTGGAAATGTAATAATGTATCTATAGATGGATGAAGAAAGGGTACAAGGGTGGCTAACTGCTGTCTTATAGATTGGTCATTATATCCAGGGCAACTGCTGATAATAAGATTAGCTAAAGATTGCCCAGAGGAAGTGTGGTATAGTTGAAAGTATGGTGGCTACGTGATCTTGGGCAAGTTATTGAGCCTCTGTTTCCAATTTATAAAAGTGAGAATAATGATAGCAACCTTGCACCATTAACGTGAGGATGAGAAATAAGGCTTCAGCCAAGTTCCTGGCACAAAATGGTAGCTATTGTGATGCTTTTTCCATTAATAAGAGACAGACCCCATCAAGCTAGCCAAATTTTAAGCTGTGTTTTAATTATGAGGGTTTCTTAAAGGCAGTCTCAATTTCCATTGTCTCATTATTCAGTTTTTTGTTGTCAACTGGCTTACTGACAAAGAATCCTGTTAAGTTTAAAAGAGGGTGTAACATCATGGTAAGGATTTTTGGTAAATGATAGGAATTTCCCAGGGCCACTAGCCAAATCTGGCCTGTAGTCTATTTTTGAAAATAAATATATTGGAATACAGCATTGCCTATTTGTTTCCATATTGTCTATGCCTGCTGTCATGCTGCAACAGCAGAGTTCAGTAGTTGCAACAGAGAATTTATGGCTTGCAGAGCCAAAAATATTTACTATTTGTCCCTTTACAGAAAAAGTTTGCTGACCCATGCGTTAGACCATCACCAGAAGGGTAATGTCTCTTGCTAAAATCAGTTTGGCCCAGATTTGCACACGTGACCGAAAGGTGTCCTGCTTATCAACTGCCCAATCGGGTTAATGTCCTTTTCATTCTCAGTGTGATGGCTCATATCTTTTCAGTCGGTTTCTTGACTTCAATGTACTTAACTTTTTTTCTTAATATAGTTATTGAATCTTTTTGTGTGAACTACTGTTAATAAATTATATAAAATAGTAAGTGTAATTCTTGCTGACTCTATATCAAAACATTAAATAGCAGTTTAAAATTCTCTACCTAGGAGAATATTATAAAGAGCAATGGACTAGGAATGAGGAAACCTGGATTAGATAGTTCTGGCTCTTTCTCAAACTAGTTATGTGACCTTGGGCAAGTCATTTAACCTTCCTGAGCCTGGGTTTACTCATCTCTAAAATCTGAGGGGTTTGTTAGCTCTTTTTTAGAAATTTTAAATGATTTAACTTTTTCAAAATTATGAAATATTTCAAAAATGCAAAAAAATATAAAGAAAAAAATAATGAATACTTATGTATGTCACGACCAAATCTTAACATTTTACCACGATTGCTTTCAAGCTTTTTTTTAAAAAAAATATAATACTTCAGATACAATTGAAGCCTCTGATCCTAATCCCCTCACTCTTCCCCCAAAGATAAACTCTCTTCTGAATTTGGCGTTTCATATTCTCTTGCATATTGTGATACTTCTATTATGTATGTGTGCATTTTATTTAAACAAAACATACAGTTTTACATGTTTTTAAATGTTATATACATAGTATCATACTGTACATTTAGTGTTTGTTAGTCATTGGTATGTAAACTTTTTCGGGTTAGGGAAGTTCTCTTTTATTTCTAGTTTGCTAAGAGTTTTTGTTGTTTTTTTTTTTTTTTAATTTTTTGTTTATTGCAGTAACATTGGTTTATAACATTATAAAAATTTCAGGTGTACATCATTATACTTCTATTTCTGCATAGACTACATCATGTTCACCACCAAAATACTAATTACAACCCATCACCACACACATGTACCGAATTATCCCTTTCAC